GCGGCAGGGGGGGCGACCGTCTATAACCTTCGGTTACCGCCGAAGGCCTCCGGCGAGGAGATTTAAGGGCTTACGCCCGACAGCCGGCCAGGGGGCCAAGCAAAGGGGAGGGGGCAGGGAAAAAGGGCACGGGGGCGTTGTTGTTGTTGTTGTTGCTGTTGTTGTTGTTGTTGTTGTCGCTGTTGCTGTTGCTGTTGCTGTTGCTGCTGCTGTTGGTGTTGTTGTTGTTGTTGTCGTTGTTGTTGTGTTGGTTGTTGTGTTGGTTGTTGTGTTGGTTGTTGTGGTGTGTGGTTGTTGTTGTTGTTGTTGTTGTTGTTGCTGCTGTTGTTGTTGTTGTTGTGGTTGTTGTTGTGGTTGTTGGTTGTGGTTGTTGTTGTCGTTGTTGTTGTTGTCGTTGTTGTTGTTGTGGTTGTGGTTGTTGTTGTTGTTGTTGTTGTCGTTGTGGTGGTTGCTGTGGGTGTGGATGTTGGTGTGGCTGTTGTTGTGGGTGTTGTTGTTGTAGTTATGGTGGTTGCGGTGGTGGTGGTTGTCGGTGTGGAAGTGGTTGTCGTTGTGGTGGTTGCGGTGGTGGTGGTTGTGGGTGTGGATGTTGTTGTGGCTGTTGTTGTGGGTGTTGTTGTTGTTGTAGTTATGGTGGTTGCGGTGGTGGTGGTTGTGGGTGTGGAAGTGGACCCAGCAGCCGCCTACGATGCAGACGAAGCACCCCGGTGCGCCACGCATTTCCAGCATTATTAGGGCCTATGTTGGGCCATGGTGACCCCTCTTGAACCACAAAGCCGGAAAAATGGAAGAAGCAGAAATCACTGTAAAACGCAGTATAGCGCAGGGGTCGGCGGCGAGGGGCGGACTCCACTCTCTCCTACGGAGAGGGGAGACGCCTACGGCAAGGACACGGCCAGGTGGGGCCCCTTGGGCCCCTGGCCGGATATACGCTCGCCGCCTCTGCCGCCGACCCTTTTGTTGGACCCCCGGTATACCCCCGGTCGACCCCCGCCCGACCCCCGCCCGAATCCGGTCGACAGATTGCAAAAATGCTCTGTTTTTCAAGGGTGGTGTCGGTTATGCGTGCCGCGCGGACAGGATTAATCGACATTTCGTGGGTGTCGGGCGCGTTCCAACATCAATGGCGGAAAATGTCCTCCAAGATGACCTGATATAGAGGCCCCCAAGATGACTCAACATAGGTTCCAGATGTGGGACACATAGTCGCCAGCACTTGAAGTTGGCTTAGGAGAACGTCGATGAGGAACGGAACACGCAC